TTTTGTGTCTCACATGTCATTCAGTGATTGCCTTTTGGTTTGTGAACACAGTTTTGAAGGTAAGTCTCAATGTCTTCGCGGGCGTTGTGTTTGGGATCAACTCGTGGTGCGGATGTATTGGTGGCCATTATATTGGACTACAGTTTGTGAGTCACAAACAGATGGACAAACTGTGCGCCCGATTGTGTCGACCAATACATCACTCGCGAGTTGATCCCAAACAAACACACGTGTGACTTATGGATATCTCAAGACATGGCGTGTGACCATCGCTGACATCAGTACTTTTGCAGACACACAGCCACTGACTAACAATATGGTGAATACGGAGGACACCAAAGACGAGACAAAGCCATTGGTGGCGTCGACGGCCAGCGGTTCCACTGCTGGCGGCGCCAGCGGTGGCGACGACTCCGGGTCGACGACCTCATCGACCGATTACTACGACTGGGATGAGGACACCGGCGAGTATGAGGTGGAGAACCAGTTGGCCTCACGTCCCGTACGCCGAGTCAACAACAGTCAAATCAGGTATTGTGTGCCAACACATCCATCGCCACAATTGATCCCTAAGACTAATCACAAATGATTTTTTTGATTGGCCAGCGATTTGGCCACAGAAAAGGGCTTCGAGTTCGAGACCGGCGATGAGGCGACCGAAGCCGAGAAGCAAGAGTTGGATCCGTCGGCGGGAAACTACTGGACTCGGGAACAGATGATGAAACACTTGGAGACGTGTCCGAAGCCGGAGGCGAACCCAGAGATGGGCGACGATTGCGATATCTATGACGAGCGGATCAAATACATGAAGGAAGTGGTGAAGGATGGTGTCTACAAGCGATTCATGCGTCGGGGCGCCGGTGCGGCCGTCATGGAGAATCAGGCGGTGCTCTACAATCTGAACGCATTCCTCGAGGGTCAGGACGAGCCGTTCGACTCGACGTGGCTGAGAGGGCGGCCCAATCTTCACCGCCTGAACTACGACACAGTGCTGCCCGGCGTGTGTCGCGCGCTGTTGACTATGAGACGCGGCGAGCGGTCGGAGTTTGTGGTGCGCCCGCACTTGGCGTACCTCGAGATGGGTTGTCCGCCGCGTATACCAGAAAACGCCACCATTTTATACATCATTGAAGTGATCCGTGTCTTCGAAGAGGGAACTCTTAGCGCGTTGGACGCCATGACCTTCGATGAGAGATCTCAGGTGCCGTTCGAGACGATTGTCGGCCTCTGCGACGACGAACGCAAGTCAGCCAACGCTTACTTCAAAGCCGAGCGCTTCCGAGAGGCGGCCTTCCGCTACCGCCGAGCGATCAGAGTTCTGGAGGACCTGACCTTCGCGTCCGAAGAGGAGAACCGCCGCAGCAATGAGTTGTTACTCAAACTGTACGTGAATATCGGCAACGCGTACAACAAGTTGTCCAAACCGTTGTCAGCGATCGGCAACTGTAAGAAAGCGCTGGCCATTGACCCGCAGTGCGCCAAAGCTGTGTATCAGTTGGGTTTGGCGAAGATGTCGAACGCCGACTACGAGACGGCGCAGCGGCTGCTAAGACAGGCGCACCAAATGAAGCCCAAGGATCAGGCGGTGAGCGACGCGTTGACACGTTTGGATCACATGATGAATGGCGAGCGCCGCGCGAAGGAAGAGATGTATCGCAAAATGGGATCTGTTTTTGTCTCCAAGAAGTAGATGTTATAAACAGTATTTTCTACTCAAAGCACGGGATTATTGTTTCGCCCGAATAATTACTTTATTGTTACTTAATTTCAATCATTTTTATAATTGTCTGTTTTAATCGCCACTTAATATCTGTTCATTTAATTGTAATTGTTTTTAATTAATGTAATTAATGGTATGTTTTGTAATCTGATGTCTAATTATGTTTCATGTTTGTAATTCAATTACAATTTCAAATTTTATGCCTCAAATCACTGCCAATTAAGATGTTTTAATGATTCTGTACTGAAAATTATCAATAATTGTTTTTTTAATTGCATAACAGATTTAATAAATTATGTTTTATTAAAATAATTAAAACAAGCATTTGTTGTAAAATTTATGGTAATTTAGTTATTATTACATTCATTAAATTTTCTATTTTTATTTATTGAATGTTAAATGAATTACTGGTTTAAAAACGATCACAAACTTTGAGCATTACATAAATCAACAAATTTATTATAATTTATAAAATGGTATTTTTTAGATTAGTTTTGAAAGTCTTTTATTTAATTAACAATTGAATGAGTATTGAGAATATAATTGTAAATATATGTGAATTTTAAAAAACATTTGCTTTTAATCAGGAATCGGTTTTGACAGACATTTGACCAGAATTTTCGACTTCACTTTCGATCTCTTTTTTGTCGAAAACACTGAATACAATCAAAATACCGACCGATAGTATGACAAACAGAGCCAATACGAGGAGTAAATAGTTGCTGATTAGTAAACCAATAAAACCTTTGGTAACTTTACAATCAATTGCAATCATTTTGTCACTGGATTTGCACTTAAAATACATATTTAAACATAATTTGCATTAGTTTTTCCCGTATTTGTATTGAGATATCATTTGAATACCTGTTCCGAAAGTCGTTTGCCTTCGGGAGTGAAGCAATACATGGGCTGACCATTGATGGCGAACCACAACATATGTCCCGCCGATTCAGCGGACACTTCATAGTCAACAATACCCTCTAATTTGTCCAACAATTTGTCGGGCAATTCAGTGGTAATCATCAACGGCTGACACTCTGGCGATTTACAAGTCGATGGATCAGTAATGATGGCCAACAGGTTCTTCGGGTCGTCCGATACGCGCAACACTTCCACCGAATGGTCGCTTGTTTTCAAAACTATCGCATAATTGTTTGGTCTGTCTTTACGGCCGACAACTGGACTGAAGATAATTCCCTGTCTATAGTAGTGTACGCTATCGTCAAATACAGTGCCTGTGCTCTGAGGTATGGAACAGTTGGTCCCCGAAGACGTTAATCCAGTGTTTTCTGGCGTAATCTTATAGTCATAATTAACTCATTAGAAGATTATCTGTGATTACACTCTACGGCCAACTCTTACCGTATGGACAACTGTACACTCAAATACCCCATAAAGACCCGGATTATTGGTGTAGCCGTTGGTCGGTATTAGACCAGAAAATATGTTAACAATTGATTTGTCGATGGATTCAACACTCGAGACATTACTGGACACACGAAGACCTTTGTTCCCACTGTTTTCTATATGAAATGACCACTCGTTTCCTTTGGCGTACATTCTGTGAGTCGATGTCTGCGAAGACTGTTCCCAATGTCTGTATAGTCTGATCCCATTGTATACGCCATTCGTGTACAGGTATTGACAGATGTCTGAACAGTGAATACAATTGATCCGTAAAAATATCATTAAAATGATTCGCATTTTTGTTGGACTAAAGTTTTTAATGTCTAATTTGTTTGTTTGATAATTAGATCTCTATTTGTAATCAATTTAACGGTTATTTAAAGTTTGTTTTAAATAAACTACAATTTTTTGAATCAATTAATATCGAGTTTTAATAAATCAAAATAATTATTAATTTAATTCACTATAAATGCAATAATTAAATAAAATGACAGCGTATTTGATATTAGAATCACTTTTATTTAAATTAACCATTAATTACATACTTTTAATTATTTGTAAATTAGTTGTAATTAACAAATCAATGCTACTCTCACTCCAAGTCCTTTTGATCAATAGTATTAATTCAATACATTTTAATAGAGTTTACATTAAATTTAATAAACAAATCATTTATCAATTTTGAACAACAATTTTAAGAGGAAATTATTTTAATACAAACGAAATGTGCGAACGATTTAACGATTAATTAACAAAACATTGTCATTAATAAGCAACTTATCTTAATCTTAGGCATGAAATTAAATTCAATATCAAAGAGTGAATATCAATTGGAAAAAGTGCTTCAATTTTTGGCAAAAAACAAAATCAATAATTTTAAACTTATTTCAAAACAAATCGACAAATAAGAAAAATAGCATTAATTTCATAGCAATTAGTGTTTTAAAACATTTTCGATTTGAACTGACATTTCAGCAGATATTTGACGTTCACTTGATTTATATCGTAGACAATGAACTCGTTGTACAGAAGCGAACACTTCTGGTCACTCTTGACGGCTGTGCCGAACGGCACTCGAGTCCCGTTAGGCATCACGTGATACGCCTTGGGGTCGGGCTGTGTCTGTCCCACACCTTTCACGCTATGCTTCCCTTTGGGCAGTGATGTCACGTCTTTGGCGTCCATTAGATCCCAACTGAAACCATAAATCAATTATCAATTTTAAATGACATTCAAACACAATCAATGAATCGGCTGAAGACATACGTCTCTCCGATGGCCACTTCGCTGAGCAACAGATAGCCGACATTCTTATTGGACTGATAGTGACAATAGCCGGCACTCTTTGTGACCATATCTGCAAAATAGATTCCTTTGCCGAACATATAGCCAGTGACGGGCGCCTCCGGGGGCGCAATGCGGAGGCCCTGCGACAGAATGCCCGCAAAATTGGTCACACGGGAGCCGTGCCATAGAAGAAGCCGATTATCCGAGTCCTTGTGCTTCTGGAACCGTTCCGATTCGCCCTCGCGTTCAATCTTAAACGCGTCCATAATGTCGAGCGAGAAGTGATGGGTCGAGCCGTGAGTATTCTTAAGATACTTCTCAATTATCTCGAACTCTTCCTCCTCTTTGCTCAACGGCTCGATCGTTGTCTTGAGTTTCCTGTAGTGCTGATCGATCGGATCCAAGTCCTCGGCGTCGGGTTTGTTCTCCGAAGTGATCATATCGTAGGCCATCTCAATGTCCAGAAGCGCGTCCAACATATCCATCTTAGTCTTGATGGCGGCCTCCGTGTCGATGAGCGGCGGCCGTTCGGTACCGAAGTTGTGGGGAATCAGTGTATAGAACTCATTGGTGGCCGACTTCAGTTGGGATGTGTTCGGCTGCTTCTTCACCACCAATTTGGACAACTTCTTGAGCACAGAGCAGGCGCTCAGCAGTTGCTTCTTCGACAGCTTACCCAACGGCATCTTCTCCATGTCCAGCTCGAACTCCAGCATCTGTTCCTTCATCTTCTGCACGTCAAATATGGAGCAAATGAAGTCCTGGACAGACAGCGCCAACTTTGACCGCTTCCCGACCTCCAGTTTGGCCGTCGAGTCGGTCTGATCGCCGCCGAAGTCAATGTCGACCGGGAAGTACTTGTCGGGCACTTTCTGGAAGTGGTGTCGCGCCGACCACTCGTTCCCAGTCTTGTCGACGTAGTGTTCGGTGAAGTAGTCGATGGCGTCGCTCACTGTCGAGAACTTCTCGAGTGTAGTGCCGCCGATGGTTGTGCCCACTCGTCCCCACGCTTTGAACACAAAATACTTGGTCTTTTTGGTGTCGTGTTCAAGAAGTTGCAGTTTATAGAAGGAGTTCCGGTTCTTTGACAGATCCACAGCGCTTAAGACAACGCTGTAAACGTCTGATCCCTGTTTGTAGATGTGGGTCACGTCCGCCACTTCGCACTCCGGGTCCACAACATTGCCCTCTTTGAGAACCATCTTCTGTTTGCCGCCACTCTTCTCGAAACGGCCTAAGAGTTTGGGATTAATTGGTGACAATTAGTGATCAATAGTTTAAGTTATGGTAATGGCTGTGATAATGGTATGGCATGTATTCCTCGTATCTGTACTCAACTCTAGGGCTCGTGAGTTGAGCTCATCATAAGGAGGACACGCCGTTACCAATCATCTGGTCATCGATGGCTACGAATTGGCGACCAATCCGTGACAACCGTTGCCAGCGATCGGAACGGGTGTGTCGTGTAATGTACGGGAGTTTAGTGATCACCAAATTGTACTAACAATATGGCGAGGCATCGGCTCCCAAGGGATCAGTTCAAGTGATAAACCATTAAATAAATAACACTATTATTTGATTACCAGAACCGGCGCCCGATTTGAACGCTGTCTTCATCTTCTCCTTGACGTTCAGATTCGCGAACCGCTTCTCGACGTCGACCTCGAAGTCGTCCAAACGATTCAAACTAATCGCTTGAATGGGATTCGAGTCCTTCTCAACCGCCACCAGGAATTCCTCCGAAACAATGGGAACCGATAGGTCTTTGGCGTCAGTTATTTGGTCGCTCTCTTTGTCGACCGCGGCTTTCGTTGAGATAATACAGAGAGTGGTTCTGTCGATGCGGTCAACGAGAGTGGCGCCCAATGTCTTCAGCCGTGGCTTGAGTTTGGCTTTCGATGTCTTCACTTTTCCGACTAAACCTATATTATAGCCGCTGAGCGCCAGAACGGGTCCACTACTGCCACCGCCATTGGTCTCCTCCTTCTTGGCGAACACGCCATCAGTGATGCCCGAAGTGGAGGGCTTCGGGTTCTCAATGGCGTGCTTAAGAACCGCGTTATAGATCCGATCGCGCGGTTCGTACTTGTATTTGGCGAGAAAGGCGTACTCTTCGGCCAACTCTTTGGGCACTTTGTTCCCGAAGGAGAAGCCGAATAGCCACCAGAGCATAAGCGTAAAGCGGGTAACCGAGTGTAAAGGGCATGTCTATATCGGTGACTAGGCCTTCTGCTCAACAGGAAAGAATGTGAGCCCTGTGAAGCCCAGCGCCCCGAATGCCATGGCGTCGGACACGCGCTCGTACTTCGAGGGCATACCGTCGGGAATCTCGATCTTATTGGCGTCCATGAGGTCAATGAGATCCTGTTTTTTCATTGTCTTCACGTTTTCCTGGTATTTGAAGAGTAGATCCGACTGTTTCTTCAGCTTCTTCTCGTCGGCGTTACTGATCTTTGGCTTCTTAGCGGGCGATCCGTTCGCGCTATCAGTGGCGTCACCGCCAGCGGCCGCTGCCGGCGGCGCATCGATGGCCGGTATCTTCTTCTTGATCTCTTTGCGGTCCTCTTCAGCCAATTTGTCAAAGAATGGCAGTTTGTCTCCGGAGGCGAAGTACTGAAGACTCTCGCGAGCGCTGGCGAAGCACTCGACGTGAAACCAGCGATCGAGCGGTCCGTAGCGCTTGGCGTCGGCCGACTCCCTGTCCAGTCGACTGATCCGTACGGTGTCTTTGACGCACGTATTCTCACACAATCGACACTTCGAGCGATTGCTCTTCGCGTACTCCACTTTGAATTCGGCCAATTGGGTGCCATTGGTCAGCGCGGGAGCTGATCCGCCATCCGTGTCGGCCTTCTTCTTGCGTGACTTCTTGCCATTGGCTTTACCCGTGTCTGCGACCACTCCGGAGGCGTCGTCGCACGCCTTTTGGATCCGCTTCTGGTCGTCGTACTTGAGTGACGCGAAGTGAGCGATCTCTTCGGGTCGCGGCCGCCATCTTTGGAAGAAGCACTGGAAGTGATGCCAATTGGGTTGCATACCGTCGAAGAAGGGCGACTGAACCATCACTGCCAGCCGTACCGAGTCTTTGGCGATCGGATCCTTACAGGACTTGCATGAGGCGCGACCCGACTTCGCGTACTCTACACGGTATGGCAACTCTTCCCGCAAACTCATGGTCAGTGTCTGACTCTCTCGCTGTCTTGGGATGTGTTGTAGTGATGATCACTGCAGACAATGTGTTGTCAAAACACTTTACTTATGTGTTGTGTTTTGTAATGCCTTTCACTAAACGTAACACATTTTTGTGACACTGGAAACCGCTTTAACAGATGATTGGCTGTTGTCTACGTTAACTTCTCTCTGATTGGCTGATGTGTGACAGTAAGTGTTGCGCTACTTTTAAATGGCTCTGTATTTTGTTTGATATGCTATGCGTTGAATGCAGTGTTTGGGCTGTGATTGCAGTGTTTGTATGCAATGCCTGTGTATTGTAATGATTGCCATTTGATCATGAAAGTTTTATCATTCATATACAGGTAAATCACAGGGAAAGTAGTGTTTAAATGGCATTTATTTGTACATATTATGTAAAATGAATGTTATAAATAATATTGTGATGAAATGTCAAATATTTTGCACGCATAGAGAGTTGCGCTAAAAGTTTGGTATAGTTTGAAAAGTTTGTAAAGTTTTACAAATAAAGTTTATGAAATATTAATACTATTTTTTGAAATATTATTCATTAAAATAATTTTTCAAATGTGAACATAAAGTTGTGATAATTTTTATTGAATTAGAAATTAATAAATTAATAAAATGAATGCCAAAATTATATCAATCGCCAAACGATGCGCTGATTTGTGGCCTAACTAACTCTCAGTGTGAGAAGAGGTGTATTCTGAACCAGACTCTCAGTTTGCGAAAGGACTTCTGTCAATAGGCATTCAGAAGCAGTAGAAACTCCGGTAAGTAGCGTAGGCAGTTATGTAGATACGAATCAAATGGTGTGCCGTTTATATGCGTTATTATATCGCGTTTTTTCAAATCATTTCTGCAAATAGTTTTGTAAATAAGTCTTCGTCATCTTTGAGGCCATTCATCGCATCCGTCAATACATCTATGCTTTCAAATGGTGTGCCGTTTATATGCGTTATTATATCGCGTTTTTTCAAATCATTTCTGCAAATAGTTTTGTAAATTGTTGTAAAATTCAATTCAAATAAAAAGTAATTGTAATTAAATGGTAATAATTATTGATAAAACTAAAGACATACTCAGTATTTGTTGGTCTCATCCCTACTGTATAGACAATAAAGCCATCCATCGATGGATATCTAAATAACATAACTCCTAATGACTTCTTTGCGGTCAACGAGTGTTTAATAACCGATTCTTTCTGTTTCTCAAACTCCAGACCTCTTTCAATAAATCCTATATTTTGTCACAAATAAAAGCATAAATTTTTAATTAAAAACATTTATTAAAAATTACTTTTAGTTTCAATGGCAGAGACGGCGAAACTAGCGTTGAATAGCTGTCCAAAGGCTACGCCAATCACATGACCGGACATATCAAATAAAGGACTGCCGGAAAAGCCCACCCGAGCGGCGGCCGTATGATTGATAAACACCTGATCCCTGGCTATCCAGGTCTCGAAGTGCTGGTCGACACCCATCGAGATATCGCCGCCGGTTCTCTCAGTACATGTGATGAACCCTACGTTTAGACTGTTGTCCATCCGATTGGGATTACCGATGAGAACAACTGATTGGCCGACGTATGGCTCAGTATTGGACAGTTTGAGGGCCGGAACTGTTTGTGTGTTGAGGTATTTGATGCGAATCATCGCTAAATCAATGGCCGGCTCGACGTATACCACTCGACCCCACAGAGCGTTCATTATATTGTCACCACTTTTACCGATTATAAGATCACTTGCTTTGTATTTATTGACAAATTTGATCATCACTTGTGCGGAATCGTAGACACAGTGAGAGTTTGTTATGATTAACACTTCGTTCCCCTCTTTGACCACAAATCCCGAAGACATTGCGATTGTGTTCTTTACTGATGTCTTTGAATATGTGATTATCTTCACCACTGATGGCAACGATTCTTCGTATATCTGTTTAACGGTTTTATGGTTTCCATTCATGTGAGCCCTTCTTAAGAGGAATTGTTGTCTTATTGGTGGTAATGACAAGAAGTTTGGGTGACTTTTGGTCTTGTTTTCAAACCAGTAATTGTTGACAATTATGGGAACCGTTACCAAAAGTACATTTCTGTTTTGCAATAAATTAAACATATTTTATAGTAAATAGTTATAAATCTTAATTGCAAATAAACTTTTGCACACTTTTGTGAATACTTTGCCAATAAATTTCTTAATCCAATCATTGAGACTATTTTAGTGTTAAATGTTTTAATGAAAATATAAATTGATTTTACTTTTGAAGAAATTAATTACTAGTTTTTAAACTCACAGATAGTTGTTTTACGAGATTTATACAAAAATTTAATTTACATTCACATTATTCGCTCAATAATTTAAAATAATAAATAACAATAATTGATTTCAAATCAAATCAATTTGAAATCATCGATAATACTGCATTCTTAATACAAAGTCTATTCATTTTATATAATTTAATTCAACCCATTATTTAATTGAAAATAACTATAGAAGTATTCAATGCATATATAGATAGAAATATTGTTTCATAAGAAAAATAATTAATTTCTACACACTTTACAATATAATCTTTATTAACAATTTGATAAAATATAAAGTACTATTGAAATAAAATTTATTGTAATCTTTGTATAAATTGAATAGATTTTAAAACAAACTTTTTCTGATTTTCAAATTCCTGGGTATTTGTCGACCATTACTGAGATCTCCGATATTGTTGTCAACAGAGATTGTGAACAACTTTTTCGGGTGAAGTGAATACCAATCTATGAAATGAGTGATCAATTGTCGGCAAATTTCTGTGTAAACCTCTGTATTATAATGAATATAACGATTCATTTGAATGGCAGATAAGTAGTAGAACTCATTGAGTTGTTGGCACAAAACGGCTGTCTTTCCATTCAAATCATTACAAAAAAGTCCCAAAGTTTTTATTGTCGTGTGTTTTGCGATCAAACGAAGCATTTGTCCAAAACATGTCTTACAATATTCTTCAACGGTGTCGTCCTCGTCGTCGTCGTCATCGACTTCATTGATATTACAAATAATTGAAACATCGCTTAAGATAAGAGTCTCGAGTTGTGGACAGCCTTTCAATAGTGACACAAATATCTCTTCGTTGAAAACCCACGAAACTATGGAAAGTGTTTTAACTTTTGGGAAATTAATCGCATTTACGGCGGAATCGTAATCAAGAAATATTGGATGAATGAGATCCAGGTGTTCAAGAGTTGTCTGTTTTTGGGCCACTCTTTGTAGACATTGCCATTGGTTTATCTCTATATTCAAAGTGAAAGACAATGCTTTCAAAGCCATACCATTGATAATGAGTTGCAGTCCTTCTTCTGTAATGTTATTCATGTCGAGATATAAATGCCGTAAATCTTTAGCATTACTATCCAATAGATTTGCCACCAATTGGTCATCAAAATTGGTTTGAGATATCAATGCAATACTCAATGATTTTAGACTTTTTGGCACAAATTTGAATAATTCTATGATACCTTCTCTTCTCATAAAATTTATATACAATTTATTCAATGCTTTCATTTCTCGTATCATTTTAATGACATTCACTGAATAAACGCGACAATAGTTGGCCATAAATGCAGTCACTCTTCCCGACAAGAGTTGTCCCAATTGGCGGAACTCTTGAGCTGTGAAGCGATCGCAACCGCATATGTTTAGCCATTTCACTGATTGGTATGACTCGAGTATCTCATACAACGACTTGTAATTGGTGTCGAAGTGACCGATTCCTAAGTACTCAACATTTGGTAACTTCTCTGACAACCAAATCATCCGTTGTTTGCTTCCAATGAGACATAGCTTTCCGTCCGAATGGCACTCAAGATATCGATTGGGAAATGAATAGGAATTGAGAATAACGTTATCATTGGGTCTGTAGTGATAGACTCCACACCAGCTCTCGTTGAATAGCAGTGTCTTCTGTCGTCGGAACCAATAGTCGGCGCACAACTGGAACTGTTTGGTGACTCTCTCCAGAGGTATCAACTCATGGATCTCGAGGTATGAGAAGATTCTTATCACCAAAACTTGATTCCCAAAGACTTTCTCAAAAACAGTTGCTATTTTAGTCTTTGTTTTGTCACTCATTTTGTGTGATATCTTAAAACACTTTATGAAATATTTAAATCCCGACTATATTTAAACTGATATTTTGTATTTTTAATTTAAATTAAGACTAATTAACTGTTATTGAATGAGATAACAATATGCATATCATTCATAGCTTTTAATCCAACGGCTATTTATTTAAATTTATATATATTACTGCAAATCAGTATTTACTGAAAGCAATGGCAAAAGTGGTAAAGATTTGTAGCATTTGTAGGGATGAAGACATTGTGAATGATATGTTGATGGCGTGTGACTGTCGCGGAACCACAGGTTATACACACTTTCAATGTCTTAAGCAATGGATGGAAAGCTCGGGAAGAGATGTGTGTAATGTCTGTCGCGGCAAATATCGAGGCGTTGTGTCTGAGAAACACCCGAAAGGACTGTTGGATTATGTCTGGGAAAACAAAGAGTGGATAGTTTTGAGATCCTTTTCCTATGGCTTTGTCTCGTACTTATCGTACGTATGTTTGGATCACTCGACCGAAAGAACCGATGAAATTGGATTCAATACCGGATCTCAAGTACTGTCACTTTTGGGTCTATTCTTCGCGTTTGATGTCTTGACAACACTTGGAGTCGACGTATTCAACGGTTTTAGGAATTATAAAGTTTGGAGAGAAACTCATTTCAATATTAAAATTGTCAAAAGCATTGAATAAAACACTATTTAGTTGTAATTTAATTTAAAATTTTAATTTTTTATGTATATTTTAAATACATTTCTTAAAGAATTTTATTTATAAATCATTTCAAGTGTTTTTTTTAATACAAATTTCTTTTAACTCTTAAATTCCTGGGTATTTGTCTATCAATAGTGAAATTTCGGATCTTATTTGAGACACAGATTGTAAAACATTTCTTTGGGTTTATTTCATACCAATCAATGAAATCATTAATAAATTGTCGACAAAGTGTTGAGTACTGTTCGGGACTGGAATCGGCGAAACGATGCAAATGAATGGCC